ATGTGTGTGTGTGTGTAGTATATATATATATATATATATATATATATATTTATATACATACATACATACATATTGTGACGTGGTGCTTTGTAGCTGCCGGTCATAAGGCGTAGATCCGAGGGGAGATCACGGGAGAATTGACTCAGATCTGCGTTCTCCAATGAGGGGAAGAGAGCGGACAATTGTTGTTTGGCCAGCGAGCCCGTTGCTGCGGTCGTGGCATAATTATTTTTATAGCGCGATTATTTTTTATTTGTATGTTGTGCTCACCGACGGACAAGGACCAAGGGAGCGGAGAAGAGGACGCAAGAGGAACAGTTGAGAGAGGAGCGACGTGGACGCGACGGAGCACGCAGGCCGTATTATCTCTCTCGCACCCGTGTTAGCGAGAATGGAAATGCCGCTATTAAATAGATTTCTTTGCAATCTAAGAAGTTCCCGCTGCCGATCGGGAGACGAGCGGAGCGATGACGAGGAAGGCGTCACCCCACGGAACAGAGCATGGGGACCCGGACATGGAATGTCCCGGCGAAGTTCCGGAACGATTGAAAGCCTGCAAGGATGCCGATCCAGCGAAGGAAGATACGAGGATCTCAAAGCTTAAGGAGCAGAGACGCCGAGGGACGTTGCCGCAAATGCCGTCGTATTTAAGTTTCCTGTGAAGATTTTCGCGACCAATTAGGACCGTGCGATTAGCTGATTTTCGGCCAATGACAAAACGGCCCAAATTGCAGAAGGAGGCAGCAATCGGATTACCGCGCACTTATTACTGCCTCATTGCGCTACATAAGGTGCTTTCCACTTAGTGATACAAGTCGACATAAGTATCATTTTGTCCTTGTTAATCATTGAATGTTAAGAAAGATAGAACGATACTTGTGTCGACTTGTGTCACTAAATGGAAAACACTTATAATTATAATATTTGCATGCTTGTATTTTGCTGCTAATCTCGCTGTAAATTTTGAAAACTCGTTATAGCGAATTTTGGGTGAAATTCAATGTCGAGTTACCGCGAATATCATATCGAAAGTTTCTCGATCTGCCAGTCATCTTTGTATATGTCGCGCGATCTTTGGATCAACCGTGTGCCACGTGATCAGCGAGATCGAATTTGTATTATAACTGCCTCGAGGCCTTGCTAGAGAGTTCGCGAATAAAACGAGTTCGCGAATTGTTATTAATTGTTAACCACCGATGTTAATTATTTGTGTCGGCCTCTCTCTCTTCCTTGATAAACGCCCTGACCATCGAACCATTCTCTCTACCTAGTGATCCCTGAGCAGCCGTGCATTCTGTCGCCGCGTGCAGCGCCTCGGCCTGCATATGAGTAAAATTTTGGATTTTCGTGGCACGTAATGCATGCCTGGCGCCCAACCGTTTGATTTTGATGAATGAATAATAGAGAGTAAGGAGGCGCGGACGCGTGATGAACTTGGACTGCACGGTCGCCAATCGGGAAACTGACGACCGATGAACTCAGGACAGTGGTCGCAATATAAATATATACAGAATCCATCGGTCGTATCACCTCTCGTGGGTAGGTAGAGTTGATAAAACTGAGTAGAAAAGTCCTCTACATTTTGTAATTTCCGCGATAATTATTGAGTTATTAATCCTTAAAAATTACCATATTAGTCAGGTCCGAAAAATGCAAGCGCGCGGTACGATACCCCCGTCCAGCAATCATCGTTGCTAGATGCGTGAGGAATTTCTTCAAGTGGCAATAGCGACCGTGGCGCTCGTGCATAGATGTTAAAATTTTCACAATAAAGTATAAAAAAAGTGCGTATATGATCTGAAGTGTGTGCTCTCACTAATACTACTGCACGCGCGACTCATGGATAAGCGTCCGTCTAAAAGTAATAAATGATTGGCTAGCTTATAATCTTTATATTTTAAAAATTGTTTGAAACAAAAATTTGCAAATAAACTTTTGACTTAATTTTTTGTAAACTTACCTGCTATTTATTAGTATTTTATTCGCGAATTTTGGGACACCCTGTATATTTACAATATACTTGTATATATGTATATATGTTATGTTTTTCTTGATGAGGGCATCCATTAATTCAATTACTTCAACAAATCCGTTGATATCTTCTTCTTTAGTTTTCATTCTATTCTCCTTTCCTTCATGAAGTCAGCAGCTATGCTATTTGGATGCTCTTCTAGTCTGTCCCTGTACTTTAAACTGTTCCCTTATTGTTTCTTTTACAGTTAATACTTTTAAATCGCGATGGAGTATCTCGTTTGTAACAAACCAGGGGGCGTCAATAATTATTCTCAGTATTTTTGACTGGAATCTTTGAATTATCTCAATGTTTGAGTTAGAAGCAGTACCCCATAATTGAACACCGTATGTCCAAATAGATTTTAATATTGTTTTATAAATTAATAATTTATTTTCTAGTGACAACTTTGTGACTTTCTGCCTATTAGCTAGTATATTTCATTCACTTTTAGTCCTAGATACTTGCGTTTATTAAAAATGTATTTCCTCCAGTTTAAGCGCCTATCAAGATACATTCCCAAATACTTAACATCATCTGCTTGAGATATTTGTGTCTCGTTTAAGTAAACAACAGGGCATGTCTCTGTGCGTGTGGTGAAAGTGACATGGATTGATTTTGTTTCATTGGTTTTAATCTGCCAAAGCTTCAATCATTCCTGAATGAGATTTAGATTGTTTTGGAGATATCGAGATGCAATAGTAGGATCGCTATAAGTTGCACGTACTATCATACTATCATATTCGTTGGCGTAGGTAGCTGTGATAACATTTGTATCTATTGATAGATCTGCAGTGTACAATAAGTACAGTATTTGATCCAACAGCTTCCTTGAGGAACTCCTGAGTGAATTGTATTGATATCAGATATGGCATCATTATGTTTGATGAAGAAATATCTTCTATGCAGACTAACTCTCGAATATTGCATGGAAATCTTCGGATAATTTTTGCTGAATTTTGTATAATAAACTATCATGCTAAACTTTATCAAAGACTTGCGCGATGTTAAGAAACACTGCAGAGCAATATTTTTTTTGTTTCCAGTGTTGATATGATTTTATTTGTTCTGTATTTGTTTTGCTATAGCATGCTTGCTACAAAAACCATATTGGTGATTTGATACTAATTGTCTCTCCTTAATTGCTGACATTAATTTTTGTAGTAATAATTTTTTGAATAATTTCAATAGAATGGGTAGATTGATTGATCTATAAGATTTGACATCG